TGGGCAGTGAAATTTTCACGTCTTGACTAGGTCCGCTATTGCCAACGGTGCTTCTTCCGTGTGAGCATCCAGTCGACGAATCATCCTAAGGTGAATTTCCCTAGATTAAAGTCTCGAAGACCTGCTACAATTTGCAGGGTCTTCATCGCCGTAATCGAACTCCTTGAGGTGCGCATCCTCGTCCATCCGCTTGATAGTATTGGCGTACTCACGAAACCCAACCTACGCTGGTATAAGCGAGGATACGTTATTTTTAGGCACTCCGTCTTCTGACAAGCGTCTTCTTGGAGGTGAACAACTTCTGAAGTTTTGCGACGGTGGTGTCGAAGTCCATGTCGTTTGTTTGCGCAGGCAGGACTTCATCGGCAAACTTCCGGCATGCTTCTTCTTCCAGCTTCACGAGAATCAAGTAGCGCTTCTTGTGATCCGTAGCTGGGAGTCGCGAATGATCGGTCCGTATCTGCCGTGCCAGTAAGCAAAGGTGTTACCTGTCTCTTTGTTTAAGGTAAATATCTGCACGACCTTGCTCATCTGGTCGTATTAATCCTTGCTGGCGTTCTGGACGGCTACCCTTTGTTTACTGACCAACGTTCTCATCTACTCCTGCTGTGCTTGTAATTGCACTTGCATTTGCTCCTGTAGAGCTTGCGATTGTGCCTGCTCCTGTTGAGCATTTAGTCGGACCAACATCCGTTCTTGTTGAAGCTGCCTATGCAGCTTCATTTCCTCCTGTTAGAGCCTCATTTGCTCAATCAAGACTGACAGAACCTTCTCCAGCGAGTCGTCATGCCGCTCTTTACTGGTTTTCAGCATGGCAGGCCTCTCTGGTGTTGACGAAGTCTTCATGTTGAGGAACTTTTGCTAAACCGATAAGCTTTTCAGCAGAGCTTACTTGTCTGGCTGTCCTCGACCTGACTTCCTCCTCGATTCTAGCTGCAGCACTTCTACTTGTCTTTGATCGATGAAGGCTTCTGGTCCTTGGTCGTTAGAGTCTTCTTGTCCTTGATCCTGATCGCCAGTTGTAGTGAAACGCGATGAGACGTTGAAATTCATAAGAAAACACAAATGTTCCCCCTATACACATCGGCGTATATGGTGCGGGTTCACCAGGATCAATTCAATAATAGACAGAGCAACCGTAAACATAGCGAGGCGCGGCGGGTATGCCGCAGCCAATTCGGTGGCCTCAGCCTTGGCTATCAATAATAAGCAAGTTTACTTTGAACACTTCTACAACAGAAGCTATAATCTAAAAGATCTGCACGCTGAAAAAACTCAAAAAAAATTATGACCGTTCAATAGAACTCTGACAAATTTACATTTGATTCTCGCATTCTCGTATTCAATATATTTGCTACACTTCTTCCATTTCTCAAAAGTGAGAAACACAAATAAGTCGAATCAGGGCAAGAATGATGCCGTTCTCGCGGTTTCTCACGCTAAGTTCATTTTTCTCAATGTAACATCTGTGAAAGGCTGCAAACCCATAATTATACTTCGAAGCTTCAAACTATAGAAAATCATGTTTGAGAACAATCAAGCACAATTTTTGACAAGAACATGAAAATTATTGGTTTCTCGATTTCAAACCAACAGTATTAGGTTGGTGCAAAAGTAATGCGCGTTTCCCGAGCTCTCAATTTGACGTGTTAGAACTTGCTAACAAATCTAGATTTCTCAACGAGAGTCAGAAGCAGCAAACCTTTCGCAATACAGCGCACATCTCCCTATACTCATACCACCAACGGACAGAAAAATATGGATTAATAAGCAAAGGGATTTTTTCTGAAACCTCGTCTTCAACTGGTCATAGCTCGGGTGAAATCTGTTAGTGCACATGATAAGTAGCCTGCCTTGTAACCGCAAGTCAATGGTACAAATAAAGCTGGAAAGGACTTGGGCGAAAAGGCTTGCAGAAAGAAATGAAAAGCAAAATTGTCACCTTTTTTTTCAACATTTTTCTATATTCCCGAAATCCCAAATCATGGAATTTTTGATTCACTGCGTGCTAAACTGCTAAACATTTTTGCAAAAAACTGTTAAAAGAAGGCATTACACTTACGCTTACAGCAATGAGCGAAGTTTGACAGTTGCTTTCTTCTGTACAAATTTATGGACCACAGAATGAATGTAACGACTATCCGTGTTGAGGAGTCGATATCTCAGCTTAGATGATCTCAAAAAATATGGCGAAGTGTGCATAATGTAGAGAATTTCAATTAGATATAGAAGCTGAATTTCCAGAAGAATGCCTTCATTCGCGCTTGAAATTTGGCCGGAAAAGTAAATGCAATGAAATTCAGGTTTTGTTGGCGGTTGTTTGAAACTCTGCAAATTTTCAATAAAAGAGACTTGAAGCTCATTTCAAACATTTTTGGATAGAGCACGAAAAGAGCTTCTTGATAGTTCGTTAAGTTTCTACCAAAGAAGAAAGTTGATGGAAAAAAGTTGCCTTGAAACAAGGGCTAGAAAAACGCGAAAGTTGCTCCGACCTAATATAAGCGATTGTTTTCATAGTGCTGGATGTGGAGAGTATATGCATGAGCAGGTCAGAAGTTAGTAGGGTTCTTCTTCGTGAGGATATGATTCTAATAAGGCATTTAGAATTTTTCAGGACTTGGCTTCGATTTTTATATGGAAGAAAATCTGTACAAATGTTTGGGTGCTGTCCCGTGAAGCTTGCTTTGCTCCACCTATCGAAAGACACTGTAAAACCTGTTCTGTGGGCAAGAACCTATGCCTTAATGCGGGAGAAAGTTAAAACGAAGAAGACTTTTGAGACAACCCAAAATTTTCATTTGTTATTGCAATGTCTCAACTTTTGGCGATCTTGCATGAGTTGACGGGGGTTAAGTTGTACATTTTCCTTCCTCTCCTGTCTATTGAGATACAGGTAATGATAAAGACGATAAATATAGACTTACTGTGAGTGCCTGACTCCTCTTTCAAGCAAACCACAGGTAGATTCAGATTCCATTGAGAAGAAGATCGAGTTTAAAAGTTGATGCACAACGTTTAGCAATTTGGTGCTATCACTGTTTTCAAGATAACATGGCTCTCCTAACTTGTCCGCAAGTCACGTAGAACAACGAGGGCTACCTTCAATCCGTATCATAAGCAGCTTTTTTCGTCCTTCCGCCACCTATATTCTGAACTGATTCCCAGTAATCCTCAAATAATACGTAAACTTTGAACCTATTATTTCGACCTTGTCACCGCTATTTAATGTCATATCGTACTCCGCACCGCGGCAGTATCATTTGAAGGCAGCTTTCCTTCTACTTCCACCTACCAATCTTTAAAAACTGCTGATTTAGTAACGTTGCCGACGTTCAATTGTGATGCCCCACTTTTCAGCTTTCGTATATCACTCGATAGTTGAATCTGGAGATATTACGAATTTTTCTGTATAGGTATAAAGAGCAAAGCCAGATACAGGCATAACCAGTCTTCAGGCAGCAGAGCGCTATCCCGCCACAGTAAAAGGCAGCGTTCGAGTAAAATCTCGAATTCTATGTTTTCGGCGTTTCTGACAAATCCGAACGGAAAATTGAAATCCCCAAATTGAAATCCCGTTTCTGGAACCGTTTTTGCAAAGCGTAGATGAATATTCCAACGCTAAATTGTTGCGGCACAACGTGAGAACATTTTTTACAACAGTGATACTTTGCAGGTGTAACGGGCGTGAAGGGGCGCGCGTAACCTGTGAGCTCGTTCCCAAAGGTGTCAAAGAAGCGAAAGGTGGAAGGGGAGCGGCGCTTAGCCGGCCCATCTGGCTTTCAGAGTTCACATTTTCGAAGCGGACTTGCTGTTTTGGCTTAGTTGAGAGGGTCACTATCGAACTGTGTTGACATCTGAGGTCAGGTCAATGCTCGGACGCTGCCTTCAGAGCCGGCGTCGGGGCAAAAAGTCAAATTCTAGATTCACCCGGTTCTATTCGCTGTGCTAAATCCGAAAACCAATGCTGGAGAGCGCGAAAACGGAAAGGTGAGCGGCGTCTTCCTCACTGCGAACTTACGTTCTCAGCTTCCGGAGCGATCTTCTCGATCCCGCTAGCCGCCCTGACATCGCCACCGGCCAAGTGCGAATGCGCGACTTGAAAGAACCGCGAAGATTGCTCTGGAAGCTGAGAGCCGAATTCGCAATGCGGAAGGTCGAGCTGGTATTCCTTCTGGGTTTACAACACTTTTTCGCCGTTTTCGCGCTCTCCAGTGTCGATTTTCGAATTTAGCATAGCAAATAGACCCGGGTAAGTACAGATCTCAAATCGACTGTTTGCCAGAACAATGCCTTCAAAGACGTAGGGTCTCGCAGCGAGTCTGCTTTTTAGCCTTGGTAAGAACTGTCACTCGTACTGATTCGTAGAAGGCTGTGAGAGAAGCCTGTTCCACCCTTCTCGTGCAATTTAACATAACTATAGGATCCAAGTACGGCCAAGAACAGAAGCGAACAAGCTAACAACCAAGTTCATGCATGCCCGAAACACAATGCCATCCAGTTTCCATTGCTTCGCTATGTCATAGCTTTTGCTCAAAGCACACCAAATAGCTTTCTTCTGCCCAAAACATGTAAAATCAGATAATTTTTGAGAATGAAAGTCAACTGTTTCAATTGTCAAAATTTTTAATGCAAGACTCTGAAAGAAATAGATAGGCTTAATGTTGAGGAAGCCATTCTAACGTCGACCCGTAAAACGGGCTAAAGATCTCTGCAACATGCTGATAAATTAGTATGATATTACTTACCTTCCTAAGTGGGTGCAAGCACATTCAGTCATCCCCCTCCTTGTTGAAATAAGGCGACAACCTTCGGTGAACATCCTAGACAACAATTCAAACCGAACAAGTGGAATCTCCTAATTACCTCTTATCAAAGTCCACAGATACGCAGCTTGGATTTACAAAAAATTGATTCAGGTGAAAGAAAGTCAAAGTGATTGGCTGATCATCCGGAAGGCTGAAACGACACAAACAGGATAGCCTTTCGCATGTTGATTGATTTTACTCTATACTCTTGGTGCCATCACCAACGTAAACGCAAGCGATGTGACTGTTCACCACTGTGACGTTATCCTCATGATTATCCTCATGAACTGGTTCAACATGAATTAGTTGACCGAGGTTTGCGAAAACGAGGTAGTTTAGACGTAGGCGAGTCGAAGATGCTGCGCCAGGTTGCTGAAAAATGATATGCTTCTGTCGCCAAGAATTAAACGACACTTGTTATGCAAGAATCAGTTTTCAAATATCTAACGTGAATTTGGTTCACTTCCACTTATTTGGCATCTAACAATGTACATATCTGCAATGTTGTTTTAAAATTAGAGGAAGATGCAACCAAACCTACGATGATAATTTGAACCGCATGCCATAGTGAAATGCATTTTCTTTACTTTTTCTGTATGACTTCGATTTAGAAAATTACAAACTGTCTACCGATCCTAAAAGGAAAACTGCAGAACTGGGTGCTGATGATTCGTTTGCAGACGACTCTGTGTTATCTGAAGATGACGATTTTCTATGAACAAGTTAATGAGTACTTCTTACCTGAAATGCTCAATGGTGGTAGTTCGATAATTGGCGACTTAGAAAGTCCGCTAAACTGCACTGTAGGAGGGCGAAAATGTGTAGCTGTTGTGCTTAATCACAAGTCAAAATACGTACACCTCATGAATCGCAATCCAGATTACCTGTTTCCAGTAAGTTCAAACTGATCATCAGGCGACAATGGTACAGCTTTTTCTTTGGCAGGACCTAAGGAAGTGATATCTGCCGCCAAGTCTGTAGAGTCCTTTCGTGACTTCTGCTCCCATTGAAGAAAATCAACCTCCATGGCTGGAAATGGTTTAACAGGAATTTTTTCACAAATCTCCCTCCGCAACCTCCTTGATTATCAACTGTCAGAAACCAGATCCTTCACGCTTCCCTCTACTTGCCTCAACATTGTCCGTTCGACAAAGCTAACGAAGGTTTATATAAGAGTGGCCAGATAATGCTGCAGCTTCTACCAAAGCGCACGGCACAAGTCGTCTTCTCGCCTTTCCAAAAATGAAATCTCGTTTCACTTCCGAAAATCTTACTGGCTAATTTTTGCAAATTTAATCCTATTCTTGTCCCTCTGTCAATAATGAGATCACTATTTCGTTAGATCCTGGAAAACTCCAAATGAGGGGACATAAAGCACCGTTGTAGTTAAACCCTTTAGGACTCGGTGGTGGCAGTTGCCACCATTGATTTAGAGAGCGATAATACTGGCACAGTATTGATTAGTGCCACAGCTAGCTTCAAATGAACTTCGCCTTTAGTGGGCTGCAGCCCCCCCCCCATTTCATCGTGCAAGAGAGTAACAAAAAACAAAAATGGCTGTCTGTCGCAGCATCTGCTAAAAAAATGTCAGTTATTCTCTTAGATGGTTGAAATACAGTCATACTATTAGGTTGGCTCAAAAGTTCTGGGACATTTTCAGATGAGATCTGCTATTTCTCGAAACTTAATGCATACACATCCGATAGAGGACCGTTCGATAGAACAAAGCAAGCTCTATAAGAAAGCATGCAAAAGTTCGCACCATCTTCAACCCACCGTAAGTTTGTATCCAGAATCTGAGTCGTACTGAAATTCAAAAAATCGCAAAAAATTTATATCTTTGTTCAAACAAATTTACGGATCTCCAACTTGTTCACAATATGATATTCATTATTGCACACTACATTAGAGATGCATATGTACCGTTCCTGGAATTTTTCCCCATCTGGAGATCGAGAAAAGGAAAGTTTTCCTGCTTATACATAAACGAAGCTACGTTGTTCCCACTCATGTGATTGTATAATACAAGCCTATAGAAGTAGAACCTTGAATTTTCAGCTTTCTACAGGCCCTAGTTCCCGAAAACTACCGAATTGAACTTTCCCCACTTGAGTGTTCCATGCTAAAATCAATACTTCTCGACAACTAGGGCTAACGGAAAGCTAAAAATTTGAGGTTATACTTCTAAGTGATTGTATTAGATCGGTGCAAAAGTTTTGTCAGTTTTTTCAATCCATCGGCAATCACGCTAGAATGAAGATAAACAGAGACTTCAAAATGTATCCGATACAGAATTTCTTCCTCTTTCCAGCTGTTAAACTCCCATTGTGTTTCGTTGCGAAAGTGACGAGATATTTGCTGCAAATTACAACCACTCGTTTTTACCATGTCCAACTTTCGCTAATATTCAAAAATTTTGTATGAGACTTTCGAAGGAGCCCTGATAGCCAGCAGATAGGGCTAAGCTTTTGCCAACTTATGCAATTTTTTCTTTTTATCAGCTGTTTTTCCAGATTTTTGCTAAGTAATTTTTTAAGAGTCTTGCGTTTTGAAAAAATTGCATAACCTGTTGTTGCACCAAACACTGCAAAACCTACAGAAAACTGAGGTTTCAGCACATGATTATTACTATCGCTACCATTACAAACTAAATGAGCGATTTTCGCTTAAAATTTTGAAGATTTTGAAACATAGGTTACGCCTGTGCGCACTCCTGAAATTGAGAAATACTGCGATTTTCCCCACAAATTTCTCCTGTCTCGGCGAAAAAAGACAAGTATTAGAAAGAGGAGAAGAATCTGCATCGAATGGTGACTGAAGTGTTTAGCATTTTATGTCCTACGAGATCAAAATAGGCCGAATGTATAATTTGGTCACTTCAAAAAATAATTAGAAATAGAAATTAGAAATTCTGAAAGACAAGCTGTAGGGCTACAAAAAATTGCTTCTGTTGGCAAAAGGTTAGCCCTATCTGCTGGCTATCAGGGCTCCTTCGAAAGTCTCATGCAAAAATTTTGAAAGTTAGCGAAAGTTGGACATTTGACATGGTAAAAACGAGTTGTTGTAATTTGCAGCAAATATCTCGTCACTTTCGCAACGAAACACAATGTGAGTTTAGCAGCTGGAAAGAGGAAGAAATTCTGCATCGGATACATTTTGAAGTCTCTGTTTATCTTCATTCGTTCCGTTAAATCTTGAAAATTTTCGTTTTCTCGAGTTCCAGATAAGGAAAAAAACAGGAACGATACAGATGAGTGTCTAATATGGTGTGCAATTTTTGTGAGCAAGTTGAAAATCCGTAGGGTTTGTTCGAACAAAGATATAAATTTTTCGCGATTTTTTGAATTTCAGTACGACTCAGATTTTGGGTGCAAATTTACGGTGGGTCAAAGCTAGTGCGAAGTTTTGCATTCCATCTTGTAGAGCTTGCTTTGCACTATCGAATGGTACCTCTATCGGATGTATATGCATCAAGTTTAGAAAAACAGCAGGTCTCGTCTGGAAATGTCCCAGAACTTTCGAGCCAACCTAATACTATCAGGAATTGCGAAGAATGGTTCTGCTAATGAGAAAACAGCTACTATGAGTTTGCGGTTCCACCTTTGTGGGCGAAAACAGAAAATTGGGAACGTTTTGCTGTCAAAAAAGTTCCAAATTTCGGTTGTTATTCAGATGTTTTCTAATCATACTATAGGTAAGTAGTTCTCATCCGTATTGGGAAAAATCAGGCCTTAAAGGACTAAAGAGCAGGTTGAGGAGAGCGTCGTCTAAAGCTTGAATAAATGAAAGCAGACAACTTTCAGTAAATGAAAGACAGAAAATTGCCAATGCATACGAAGTGAGGAGGCAACTACCTTTGCTAAGCTCAACATCTGATGAAACTTGGTTTAGTGCTCATACTACGTGAAAAATTGCTTTGTAGCGGTCTCTTCTCAAGAAGAAAAACTACTGATCGCACCGGTAAAAAATTTTCAAAATTATTCGAATATAGAGATAGATAGATATCGTATTTATCGTAGATATATATGCCTCATAAAAAAACCAGCCTTCATGGTGGCGTATCTGAAGACGATTGATTTAAGAAAAAAGGTATTGCGTTACTCGAGTTTCTACATTTTTTGTATGATAACATCACACTTGATATTCACAAGAGAAATTGAACCAAAAATGTTCGTTTGGATCGTTAGTAACTCCTTCACCAACTCCTTGCCCATGGCCGCTCTCGCAATACCATTCTATTAGATGCTGGTCGTCTCCTCCAGTCTATCACACATCATATAAACGGCGTCTGTTTTGACTTAGAAGACGATCTTAGGTGCTGGTTAAACGACTTTTTTGAGACCAAACCCGCTGGATTTTGGAAATCAAACCTGAAAAACTGACGCATGGTGGTAGAAGGTTGTGCGCAATAACGGAACATAACACTGTTGATTGAATTTTGCTAAAATTCTGTCATTTCGTTAATTTATATAAACTCTACGAACTTATAAAACGACCTGATAGATTTTTGCGGGGCATCGAGAAGCGGTTATTACGATGTATCTGGCATAGGTAACTCGTAGAATAAGATATGGAAAAGTGCGAATTTCATTGAAGTCAGCGACTCCTTAGCTCACAAAAGCTTTTAGTTTATTTAGCTTTTTGGAGAGGTAAAGCATGGCTTTTAATGATTTGAAACACTCTTCAGAACCCTACACCACTGGAGAAGAATCAATTATCTGCTCCACAGGACAAATTTGAACTGACGCCGCCAGCTTTGCAGAACGATACCTCAACAGGGGCGAAAGACATGAGCAAGAGACCTAATAATGACCAAAGTAAGATTTTTTAAGACAACCTGTTGTCTGAGAACCTTTTTTAAGACAACATGTTGCTTCATTTTTGTGTTTGTGCTGTAGTCAAGCCATCTGTTTGTTTGAGCAATGCGCTTAGAGTTTGCGTTTTGTGAGGGGACGCGTTTATGCATGTCATCGTCTGTCAACCTGCCTCTGGAGCAAGTAATCGTGCCTGACATGAGAGATTCGCTGTGGTAACAGCTTGTTTTACGATATCTTCTTTACTCTCTGTTCTAGGACGAATCAGCGTACACTTTAAATCTCTCTTAAGCTGAACGATGAGCTTGAGGAAAATATTGACCTCCAATCTCCGCACTCACCCCAGTTATCATACTGCAGCTTCTTCTCCGGATTCAGAATATAATTTCCCAGCGAAAAAACGCTTTGCTTTAACGAAAACGCCAACATATCAGCGTATTCCTCACGAAGCGATGGTGTTAGCTCCTCCCATACCTTAAGCGCTTGTTCCGAAAGCAGATAATTACCGTATAGACCGAACGACTGGAAAGATTATGAATTCGTTTCAACATCATTTGGTAATAGGAAGGGAGCTGCCTCAGTAAAGTTTGTCGCTCTAGCTTCACGTTCATATATATCCTTCACATTGTCAAATTGACTTCGTGCCAAGTCAGGCAGATCATTAGACAACTGCAAACTTCCGGTAATATCTCCCCCATACAATTGACGTGACAATGTATATCTAAAAATTTGATGCGGTTTTCCTCAAGCAAAGCGACACAGAAGGCTCACTCTAAATCAGATGCCATTTTTTTGCTGATTTGCTCTGCCGCGCCTCCTCGTTCGATTGCCGATTTCAAGTCGGATACCCATTTATGTGTGCAGTTGGTTGTATCCGGCATCTCCCAACTCATGGTTTCGCAAGCACAGTATCTTACAACGGTACCTATAAATTAATGCAATCCCTAATGAGTGTTTATTAAATCTTCCATGACCGGTGCATTTAATGGTGTACAATCGAGTAGATTTTCCGTTTAATATAGTGTGCTTGCACAGTTTATGAAATGCGGTAAAATTTGCTCGTGAACAGGTAGCTGCGCCAGCGCTGCCGGTATTTTGCGCGCGCAGTTGGCCGGCGTCACAGTCGAAGCTCATTCCTCACGCGCAAATTTTACCGCATTTCACCTTCTCTGCAGGCACACTATATTGAGCGGAAAATCTACTCGACTGTAGC